TTTTGCCAAACATGATATTCTTTAGATTATCAAATTTATCTCTATTCTAAGGAAACAAGCTTTCTGCCTATTTCTAACTTTTACATTTAAAATATAAGAATGATGGTTATATAAGTTATCTCATGCTCTTAAAACATTTTGAGTCTTTTCATCTATTCTCAATATCTTTTTAAAAATTATACTGTATTTTATATAGTGCAAACAAGTATTTAATTTTCACAGTATGGCAGACTACTATATACCAGGAAGGGCTTCTGATTTTCACACTTTGGAGACATTTCTGCCCTCCTTTATGTCACACATTTATCTAAAGATAAGACAAGCCTCACCCACCATTTGGAATTTATTCTCCAAAATGTCAGGGGTGAGCATGAACATTATAGGATTTATCTACAGAGTCACCCTGTGGAATGGACATCAGTCTAGTTATGCATTTTCAACACTGTTTATTATTATCAGCTGCTGTTTTAATATTACATTAATTTTCCAAAAAGTTACTTGAGAAACAAGTGAAAAATATTTTCTCTTCTAAATAATGAAAAGCTTTCATGAACTTAAGAGGATTTTGACAATATGACATTTACATTATCATCCCAGGCTTTTCATTTTGAAAAATAAAGTAACACTTGTGGAATTCTTACATTAATTTCACCTTCATTCATGTGCAAGAATAAGGTTAGAGACATCTCTGGAGAGTAACGCTGGCGTCTAGTGACACCTGCCCACATCCCAGGACCTTGTTTCTTCTTTCTTATACCTTCTGGAATATTGACGGAAGAATGAAAAAAATGCATATTTAGCAGTCGGTTGGCCACCATAGAGACTGTGTGTTTCTAACAGTATCCAATGTTATTGTTAAGACAACTGTCCAGTATGAACAAAAAAAGGAAAGGGCAAGGTATTCATGCCTATATTGTGTCACCTTTCAGAAACTGGTAAGAGAAAACCATTCTTCTTCAAATACTATAGCTCTGCTTAGATTTGTTTTTTAAAATTATGGTACTGGTATTTGAAGAAATCTCATAGCAGTGATGATGGTCCTATACACAATTATTTGGAATTTTGTATCCAAAAGAATTTCTATAAAGTCAATTTGGGAGAATTATTAATCAAGCTCAAGAAAAGCTGCCTTCTCCTTGTGAGACCATGAATTAATCAACTTTTTATTTGCCTTGTTTTTACATTTCTTTTGAGTAACACAGGAAATGAAAGGTTCAGAATTTCAAGGGACATACAGCAGCTTGAAAGTGTTTTGTTTTTTTTAACCAGGTAACTTTTTCTTTTCTCCCAAGATAAAATTGGTTAATAATCACACATCCTCAGTCCTCTACTGGGCTGCTGTTGCTTTTGTTTTAAAAATGTGAGCAGTACACAGCTCTTCCCCTCCCTCTCCCTACTGGAAAAAGGGAGACGGTATGAAGCAATGGGAACCCAGCCATGGGTACAGTCTCTTTCCATGACACCACAGAGAATCTGAGAGCAGTTAAAAGTTTTCCTTAAGAGAAAGGATAGAATAGGGCAGCATTGCCAAGGGTTCAGAATTTCCCCACCCCAAGCAAGTATTAGTTATATTTGTAGTTAGAAAAAAGGAATGACTTACTTAAACTAGCTGGTTGGCTGCAGCAGGCATGCTTCGCCTAATCAGGTGGCAGCCTGTGATTGGCTGGAGATTGACACTGATTGACTAAACTCAGCCTGGGTCACACAGGTATAATCTGAGGTAAAGTTGTAAGTTGTTTACACATCGAACTAGTATATTGTTCACTATGTACTGAGGTTACTTTGCCAAATTTCATCACTGGAGTACAAAAACAGGTTTAGGCCAAATTTATCTCAATTTAATGCAGCTGGCCATCATTTCCAAGGGACATGGTGATAAAACATCTTCTTCGATGTCCTACACAATTGACAGGAAAATATGTAATATAATTCTGCTCATTTGAGAAACACTTAAAGATGGCTTCCTTTGTTCTATAATAGGAAAATTGCAAATGGGTGCTTAATTTCTCCATTCAAATGAGATAAAAATGAACATTCCAAATGTTTCTTGTTTTTCTTTATCATCACCAAAGTACCTTTGGGAAACGGAATGGCCCAGTCTAAGTAGAACTCTTCCCTAAGGCCCTAATGATACGTATCAAGCCTGGCTCATCAGTATACAGGAAAATTTGTCACATATAAATAGCAAATATAACACCCAAACTAACAATGCAAAATTTTCCAGAAATTTATTAGAATGCTCAAATTTGTGGTCCTTGGACTACAACATCAGCATCACCCAGAAATCTGACAGAAATGCAGACTTCTTGGTCAGAAATGTCCCAGACCCACAGAACTAAAAACTGCATTTTAACAATCCTCAGATGATTCATACACACATTAAATTTTGAGTGTTATCTATGCACAACCACAGTATTTTATTAATGATTTGCAACAAACCCATAGGTGTATTAGTGCTATTATCTTTGCTGTGGTTTTGAGGAAACAGAGGCATATTGTCTTAATTAAGACAAATTCTTAAAAAGTATATAGCCTTCAGATATTAAAAAAATTAGCTGCTTAATATCATAAACTGATGAAGTATGTTGGCTCTGAGATCAGACAACCTGGGTTCAAATCCTGACTCTATCAGTTATTCACCAAGTCTGAAATCTTATTGCTTAATACATCTCTGTGTCCTCTGTAAACATGTTATCCATAACTACTGTGCTAAGGTGAATGGCTCAGACAAAGGTAGTTACAAAATGGAGAAAGGGATGCCAAGGTTTTCTCTATTTCTAGTTAATTTGTGTAACCAAGTAAGGAATTAGTGTTTTTCAGCAAAAGTAGTTTAAGCAGCTCTTACAAATTCACAAAAGAAGAAACAAAGTCCACACTCAAGACATCTACCAAAGCCATGGAGCCTACTCTGCTGACTGCTCCATCCCCTTCTCCCTTGCCATCAGGATCTGATTTTGTAAGTGTGAGGAGGATCATGTCAGGCTCTGGAAATGATTTCTGATTGATCTAAGCCAGCCATGGCAAAACTATCCTTGGCCTTCAGCTTGGTAGGCACAGGACCCAGGCCTGGACCTTGAGGCATCAGGGGAATCTGCCATGGATCCTGAGAAGGATGCACTCAGGTGAAAATGGAGAGCAGTGGCCATGAAAGTGGGATTTCTTCTGTTACCTAGAGATGTTGAGTACTCAAGGAATGTCAATGGAATTGCCATTGTTCTACCAAAACAAATCAGATGATCTGTTTGGACTCATCACTGTCATTCCAAACTGGAAGATGCTCCTCATGTGCACAGCACCAAGACTTAAGACAAATGGGACTGATGTCATCAGAACTCTTCATTGACTTGGATTGCAATCTCTTCTGAGAGGACATATTGTTTTTAAGGAGAAAAGTGTCTCATAGCCTGTCTAAAATCAACTGTATTCTTTTGGGGGCTGGTGTGCAACTGTGACAATCAGAAGCTTCCTTGGTAGTGTGCGCAGCCTCCTGCCATAAGGGACCTTGGTGACAGCACTTTCCATGGATGCCCATGTCTCGGCTCTCATGCTGTCCCCAGTCTAGCCTACAGACAGGTAATCAAGGCACCTTTGGGAAGCCCCAGGACATGGTTGTGGGGTCAAACGTGGTCCCTGGACAAGTGGCAGACTCTGTGCTGCACCTTCTTAATCACACTCACCAATACATAGTACTTCCTGTTCCCCTAAAAGCTTCATTTAAATTCAGTTGAAGAGAGACTTTTCTCCCCTCAGCCTCTGTCTTCCTTCCCATACATCCTTCTGGACTTTGGACCCCGTTGTGCTGGAATGTGATACTGGGAACTACCACACCCATTCAAGAGATACTGAAATATTCAACCCTGAAATGGCATCGATTATTTAATCAACGTCTTTGTCAGTTAAGGCCTCTGGACTGGGGTCTTGTTACCTGCAGCTCAAAGGACCCCAAAGGAGCCACCACCAGGCAAGGAGGGCCTCACAACTGAGGCCACTGCTGCCTGAGAGGATTCAGCTCTACAGCTTGACAAGCCTTGCCCTTGTTGCTCTCTGAAGTTCTGTAAGAAACTCTGACACAAAATAAGCATTGAGAATTCACTAAAACTCCACCACTGTCCATGGAGTTTTGTAAACTTCTTGTAACTCTGAAAGTTGCCTGCAGTTGTAAACAAGCTGCAGAGGGTAACTGGACTGGGACATTTTTATTTTAAAAAATTTCATTTGCTACTAATTTCAAACTTATAGAGAAAATGGAAAAATAAAAATAAGGGCTGGGATGTAGCTCGGTGGTACAGCGCTTGCCTAGCATGCGTGAGGCCCTGGGTTCAATCCCAGCACCAAAAAAGAAAAGACAAAAAAAAAATAAAAATAAGACAAAGAATATATATATATAAGAATATATATATATATATATATATATAAGAATATATATATATATATATATATATATATATATATCTGTAGATCAGTTTTCTCAACAGTAAAATAGGGTTTTGAAAGTACCTTTGTCAGGAGGGTAAGAGGGGGTTAAATAAGTTTAAATAAAACACTTTGAGTAGTGCCTTGCAGGTATCAAGAACTCCATGTGTTTCAGTGGCAGCACTGATAAGTAACAGTAATTCTACTAGTAATGTTTTTTCTAGTTCTTACTGCATCTTATTCAGTCATCTCATTCAATCCTCCAAATAATCATCTTAAGTGGGTATAACTGCCACCTCCACCACTGCAGCAGAGACACAAGTGAACAGGACACCCACTTTTGCCCAGAGAAACACAGCTAGTGAATGCGAGGCTTGCTGTGAAGCCTCCACGTTGAATGTGCTGCTCTGTAGCTCGCGTCTTCAGTTCAGGTCATTTGAATGCAAGGGCTCTATTTCCCCATGAACTGCACTTCTTTCCATCCATGAATGAGAAGAGCATTTTCAGATGGCAGATGTCTCATTAATGCTAGTTGAATCAGAACACAATTACTGAGCCTTTCGTTCTGTCTCTCTGTTTTGCTCCAGGTCCTGTTCCTTTCCTCTCTGCTTTGGCCCTGGAGAACACTTTGTCATTCTTCACTTGCCTCCAAGCCAGGAGCCTTTCCAATCAGCATGAAAGCACTCTTAAAGGTAATAGAATCTTGAGCTGAGAGCTGCAGCCTCCCCAGGACTCTGTCTAATAAATAGCCTCTTAAAGGGTCTGCTTCATGGCCCTTTGAGGCCGATTTGCATTTTGATGAAGAACTTCTGAAGATGAAAAGCCTTGACTTACAGAATGACTATCTGATGGAACTACATCAGGTACAAGAGGGCAGTGGACTCCAGGGTAAAGCAGAATTAGGGGAGAGCCTCTGATCTCAGCCCATAGGCAAATGGTGTCCCAGATAATAGCACCTCCACATAAAAGTCTCTACCAGGCAGCAAAGGCAAGCATGATAACCCACCTATTTTAAGAGAGGCAATTCTGATCCTTAATCTGACCTCATGGATGTTTTTTACAACCAAAAATTTAAAAATTATCTGATAGTCTGTTCAGATGAAAGCCCTTCTCCAAAGCAGCATGGGACTGAGCAGAGACAGACTTGAGTGTGCTGTGTGTGAGTGTGGGGGGGGGGTCACATTACTTTTACTCTTTTTTGTCTCAAAGGAGAGATTATTGGGCTGGTATTCTGAGTAGAGAAGGTACTGTGTCTAGTGCTTAATATTTTGGGGAGTGGATACACAACTTTGGGAAATCTGGAATCATCAGCATAGTGGCCACATAAACACACATAAGGCAAACTTTTCTGGTGTCCCGTGATAGGAATGGCTTATAAGTGTGGGAAATAACATGTTTTGTTGGTCTCAGTGATATGTGTATAAAAGGGGACTGGTGTGTTGGAAAACTGAGTTGAGAATTCTTGAAGGATTGTTGAAGTACAGCCTTTTGCTATAAACTGTTGAGATCTTTGACTAGAATAAAATTCTAAGTCCTTGAACAAGATAGAAAAAATGTCAATTTAACCTTGAAAAAGACAGAAAAGTTATCTACTGGCTGGATCCTTTATTGCTTGAAATAATGAAAACTGGAATTGAACTAGAAGCTTAAGTTTTGTAATTATCCATCCTCAAAACATTGGTGGTTTCTTTCTTTTTCTTGGATAAAGGCAAGATATATTTCAGATTTGTTAATAAAGGAGATACATTACCTAAGATCAAAATAACAAAAGCTGTGTATGCTGACGAGCCAGTGTTCCTGTAAGATATGTAAGCAAAATGGTCAGTAGGATTTCTAAAAATACTGTAGAAATAAAGAGAAAAAAGGAACACACACACACACACACACACACACACGCACACACACACGCACATGCACACACACACAAACCCCAAACATGATTAAAAAGAAAACTGGACAATGAGTTCAAGAGAATATGTTCAAGACATCATTCAGCTTCATGCACCAGCTCAAAATACAGAACAGCCAAACATCATGTCTGGCGTTTCTTCTGTTCTTTTGCTTTTAACTCAACATGTTTTATCATTATTTCTTTTGCAGAAGTGAATGGGTTGCTATAGTTACTCCTTTTTATTTTTCTATAGTTACTCATTTTTAATGAGGTTGGAAACTGTTGCCCAACCAAATAACTCTCACTCAAAAATATTAGAGGGTAGTGGAGGGGAAATTTGTGACTAAAAACTGACTCATCCTAAAACAAATACAGAAAGACACTGAAATATAGTTAAGGAATGGAATTATGATTTATTGAACAAGAGTTTTATTCTTTGAGTCTTTCATCAACTATGTGGTTTGGAGGCATTTAGATAACACTTATTTAAATAAACTATAATTAATCCCTTAAAAACTGATTTTTGTTGTTGTTACAGCTTTTTGACACTTAACGTATCTATTAATAATCAGGAACATATGAAAGCAAAAAACTCAAATATAATTTACAAAATTAAACTGCAGTGTTGCTTTTAAAAAGAAGAAATAGTTTTGTAATATTTACCTCTAAAACATTTAAACTACCTTTCACAGTAAAATAAATAAATAAATAAATAATGACCTAACCATACTGGACTCATAAAAGGAGACTTCACTTCCTAGTGCAGAAGTGAATGAAGGCTGTTGGGAGAACAAGAGAAGAGGGAATACAAATCAAGCTGAGGAGGATTTTCTTGGTGGTAATGGTGACATTCAGTATGTGAGACCTACAGAAAATTTACCTGGAAAGACAAAAGGAGAATTTGGTCAAGTATTGGAAATATTCATGAGTGTAGACATTAGCATCTTGAGCTACATTCCCAGAACGACTCAGCAAAATTCTACCTGGTCATCATCTTTTCAAGTGAGCCAACTGTGAACATCTCAATGGCTTAGAAGAACATTTCCATGTCTACACCCCTAGCCTCTGCCCTGTTCCTTCTTCTCTCTGTGGTGCTGGCCATTCAACCAGGCACACTCCACCGCTAACTACACCCTGACCCCTAGCTCGGTGCTTCCTACTTTGTACCTCCGAAACATGGAATAGGACAATTATAATATATTTGGCTACTAGCTAAAGAGCTTACATGTTAGACACCTCGTCCTCCCACTTCTATTTTTTACCCAGCCCCTGTGCACTGAGAGAGGAACCTGCATCAACAGGGCCCTTGGCTCTGTTTCCCAGTTGGGTCCAGCCCAGCAGGAGATATGGAGAGTCAAGATTCAACTTGTAATCCCAGACACCTTCCCTGCAAAACTGCCTTGACTGGCTGCATCCCTCTCTGATCGTCTTCCCCTTTCAACTGCTTTTCAACACATTCTGGTATCTACTTCTTCTCTTTCCTGGTTTTCAGTAGACTGAAGACACATCATCATTCCTGTAGTTTCCTACCCTTGAGTCATACAACGTACTCAATACCATTCGTTGGAAATAGTTCCTTTTGCTGGGCATCGTGATACATGTCTCTAATCTCAGCACAGAAGTAATCTTGTCTCAGAGGTAGAAGCAGGAGGATAGTGAATTCAAGGCCAGTCTGGGATATACAACAAAACCCTGTGTGAAGAGATAGATAGATAGGAGATAGATAAGTAGATAGATAGATAGATAGATAGATAGATAGATAGATAGATAGATAGATGAGTTTCAAGGCCCTGCGTCCCTGGGTTCAACCCCCAGCACTGCAAAAAAAAAAAAAAAAAACCCAACACATTGTTCTTTCCTTTGCCATTTCCTTACTTCACAAATTCAATTTTTCCTACTCTAGTTAGAACTTTGCACAAGATATAAAAATGATTAAGACTATGAAGTCTATTCTAGATAAGGAGACACACTAATAAACAAATAAACATAAATTTAGAGGGTCTGAAGAGAGCACAAAGTACATTTCTTGGAACATTTCCCTATCTTTATTAGTGTAACTTAGAAATATGTATACAAATGTTACATTGTTTAAAATAATAATGGAAAGTCTAAAAATGGCATTCGGGTTCTCTCTGCAGTAAAGAATAGAATGTAAAATAAATTTAGGTTTATGAACATCTTTCTTAGAATTAAAGAATTATAGAAAAAAGTACTTTGTTTAGCAACTGACCTTTTTTTTTTTTTGCAAGTACTGGGGTTTGAACTCAGGGCTTCATGCTTGCAGGGCCGGTGCTGTCCACTTGAGCCACTCCACAGGCCCAGTTTAGCAACTATTAAGTTGTAAGCCCAGGCGTCTTCATCATGATCATGAAACCTAAAATCCTCCTATGCATTGGCGGACAGAAAAGGATAGCCTTTTGTAGGAGAGAGTTTACATTGGTGACGGGATATGTTAACTTGATCTTTAACACACCATTTTTAAGTTTGTATAGTCAAGTTTTTTTTTTTTTAACATACACACAAAGACTAAGAATCAAAATGTCATGGAATTATAAAATGCTGATTGGGCTGAATGCAAAGTAATGTTTAAAACAGGAAGTTCCCATGCGCACTTGAGAATAATCAGAGTTCATTAAAGATCTCTAATCTAGAGGCAATTATCTAAGTTATTGGCTCTTGATTTTCAGAGCACATTAGGATTAGCTGGAAATTCTGAAAACCTGGACTTCAGGGCGTCTCTAGAGGGCTGACTCACAAGTCTGCGGGGAGGCTGAGAATTTGCACTTCTGAACCTCCCATGTGCTGATGCTTTTGGTTATGAGGACCATGTTTTGAGAACCACTGAGTAATTTTTTTCTCAGTGATCCAAATACCTATTAGTAAAATGTTTACTTATACATTTATCAATTTTTGCAATTTCATAAGAAAAGTTATGGAAACATTGTCCATTCTAAAACTAAGAGTTATTCCCACAACAAAACATTTTGTGTAAAGAATTAATTTCTCAAAAAAACGTAAATGTAGGTTTTATTATCATAGTTAATTTATTTTATTTATCAGAGGTGTAACTGATGAATCCAGATATATTCTTTCTGCTTTGCATGGAGCAAGCAGTCTTACTTTGATGTGACGTACATTTAGAGCACCATTTGAAGGAATTAAATTTCTTTTTGTAAAAGAAGAAAATTAATATATTTCAGTGTCATTTTTCTCAGTTGATAACTAAGACTAATGACATTTTTTCCTTCGGGACTGCGTTGATACTTCCACCTTTGAAATTGAAGATTTTGTTAGTTTAGAAGAGCTGTCGTGAAATTAGTTAAACCTCTAAAACACATGAATTAAGAAAATCTGTCATCTTTAAGAATTAATCATGAAAGTTAAAATATTATGACTTTAACAATGCATTTTCACTGAACAAAGTTTATTTTATTCATAGAAAATGCACTGAGGAAACAATTTTGCATTTCATATAGTGTAGGCCATCAATGGACACCATTTGGACAATCCATCAGTATCTCATTCCCATCAGTGTTCAATATGCAGTATTAATCTTTTTATCCCTGCAGCTGAGATATCTGAGTTATTATTAGCTGACATATAGTTTAGACTCAAATTCCTTTGTCATTTATCTCAGGTTTTCTACGATCTAAATCTAACCCATTTGTTCGTAATTATTTCTTCAACATAAATCTTTGGTCAGAATTTATTTACAGATCTACTGACTTGCCTCCTATTTTCTTGCCTCTGGCATTCAAGCTGGAACTCCTTGTTTTATCCTCTCTTGCCACATAAATCCTA